GAGAGAGAGAGAGAGAGAGAAACACACTGTTCCGGGCAGAGGCATCAGTAGACAGTAGTAACTTACGGTGTCTGCCTCCTCCCCACCCCTAACTTCCCCCCCTCCCCACAGACTGCCTCCTGTTCTGCACCGTTAAAGGTGAGCCCACTGAGTATTCTAACTGCAGCCATTCTCGCTCTTTCCTCAGTGCCTCACATTGCGTTCCCCACGCGATGATGTATTGAAAGACTACGGGACATAGGAGAGAAGTTGGCAAATGTAGTTTAAGTATCATCAGTAATTATTTGTCATCAGTTATATTTTCTAAAGTGTGCGAACCTCACTAGTGCTATTGTTTCCTGTTATAGGCTTGGCTTGTCTATTGTTTGGCTGAAAATGAAGCCATGGGGTGAGTTCACTTCCAGACCTTAAAGGTGCCTAAGGGGCATAGTCTCAGCGGTCCCTGCAGTCTTCAACTTCCAGTACCCCGAGCCTTTTCAATGGTTTTGTGGGGATTTTTCACCCACTACTGTGTGTGCCCTTTCAGAGCAGCTGATAATATGGGAGACTGGTGGCACCATCTAGTTTTTCAGGGCTCCCGATGGTGGAGACATGTTGGTGTGGCCCATCGGTCCATTGGGTTAATTCTACCCTCCGGGTAGGGGAAGACGCATAGTTCTACCTTAGATGCCTGTTCATGAGCTTTTAAGGCACCAGCCACTACTCCCCAAAGGAGAATGTAGAACCTTGCCTTTGTGGACTGCATTATCTCAATTGACCTTGGTGTTCCCCGAAACTGGTCCTGAGCTGGGGGTGTGACAGAGAATGTGAGTGCGAATGCAGGTCTCTGTTTGCTATTCATTTACCCAGTTGAGGGTGCATTTGGCTGGTGCTGGCCACTTTATTTTTTCTTAAAAAAATTTTTATTTTCAAAAAAAATTTTTTTTATTTTCATAAATCATTTTATTGGGCCTCTTATAGCTCCTGTAACAATCCATACATGAATTGTAACAAGCACATGTAAATATGTTGTCATCATCATTTCCAAAACGTTTTCTTTTTACTTGAGCCCTTGATATCAGCTCCTTCCTCCCCCTACTGTCTCCCTCACCCTCCTACCCTGGTTGAACCCTTGAAATATATAAATTACTTTATTTTCACATTTTACACCATCTGCTGTCTTCCTTCACCCACATTTCTACTGTTCGTCCCCCGGGTGTGTATGTATGTGTGTGTGTGTGTGCATCAATCATTGCAATCTGCTCCCTCTTTCTTCCTCTTCTTCCCCCACCTTCCCCCCACCCTTATGGTATTACTTCTCTCATTATCGGTCCTGAGGGATTTATCTGTCCTAGATTCTGTGTGTTGAGCGCTCTTTACTGTACCAGTGTACATGCTCTGGTCCAGCCAGATTTGTAAGCTAGAACTGGGACCATGATAGTGGGGGGGGTGGGGAGGGGAAGTGGGGAGGAAACAATAACGAACTAGAGGGATGTTGTGTGTTTCATCGGTGCTATACTGCACTCTGGCTGGCCCTTTGCTGCCTTGTGACTCTTTTGTGAGGGATGTCCAATTGTCTACAGATAGGCTTTGGGTCTTCTGATGCCTGATACCTGATCCCATCAACACCTCGTCATCACACAGGCTAGTGTGCTCTTTCCGTGTGGGCTTTATTGCTTCCTTGATAGATGGCCACTTGTTTAAACTTCAAGCCTTTAAGACCCCAGCTTGGTTCAAGGTTAAAAAAAAAAAAGACCCCAGATGGTATATCTTATAATAAACTGGCCACCATCAGATTTCTTCAACACATTAGCTTATGCACCCATGCTGTCTTCAGCAATTGTTTCAGAAAGGTGAGCATCGCAGAATGCCAGGTTATTAGAACAGAGCGTTCTTGCATTGAGGGAGGACTTGAGTAGAGGCCCAATGTCCGTGTCCTACCTTAATACTTAGCATATAAATATAGGTACATAGACCTATGTCCCTCTCATTATATATTAATATATTTATATATGTACATGCCTATGTTTATACTTCTATAAATGTCTTTTGCCTCCTAGTTATTTCCTCTATTTCCTTTTATTTTCCTCCTCCCCCACTATCATGTTCAACCATCATATTGGCTCTCAGTAATTCCTTTTGGCTACATAGCATTCTGTGCCCTCCTGGCCATTGATTTGGGATCTCTTGTTGTTCCCTAGTCCCTGGGTTTGTTGGCTAATCCCTCTCTTTATTCTTCTGGGGGAAGGGGGTGTCGATATAGCTGGGATAGGACACTATTGATTCTTGATCAGGTGCTATAGGAATGGGTAGTGCTCCCCACCCGCTGGCGAGGGCTGTAGAAGATACAGATGGACTTGAGCCATGTAGGCAAGGTTCGTGTTTCACATCAGCTAGGACAAGAAAAAAAGAAGAGAAAACTGAAACTATAAAAATTGAAATACAAAAGAAAAATGAGGGAGCTCAAGAAAGCAAGAGCAAGGAAAAAGTAAGAATTTAATAACTAAGAAGAAAAAAAAGGCACACGAAAACAGGGGAAGAGAAAAGAAGAAAGCAGTAGATAAACCATAACCCCTCTCACTGCCTTCTCGTCAGTTCTGACTCTGAGCCCAGGTGGTGGGGAGAACGGACCACCCCTGTGGGTTTCTGACTCTACGGGAGAGGACCGCCTCGTCTTTCTCCTGAAAGCAAACTAGGGAGGGGAAAAGAAAAGAGGGAAAAACTAACAGGAACAAAGTAAAAGAAGGAGGAAGAGGAGGGATGGGAGGAAGGCAAGGAGAAAATAAAGGAAAGCAGAGATGACTATGAAAAAAGAAGGGAACAAAATCAAGGGAACGAACCAAGAAAGGTCAAACAACAGAAAGGCGTGCCGGGGCAGGCCATGACTCGGAGGAGAAAACTGGGGAGCGGGATACCCCATCTAAGTGGGCACCCTCTGCTAGCCAAAGAATTCACCCGCTGGGGAGTGGAGGAGTCGAGGGTGGAGGGTGGCGCACTCAGTCCTTGACAGAGTCCCTATAAACCAAGATGATGCCTGGGCACATTGTACCTGATCTGTTTGTGCCGGCTCAGAACGTGCGTGTTCCTGGAAGGGACTCTGTCAGTCCCAGAGGGCAACTGAGGGCAGGGTGACTGGTTATGGAAAGAGCTCCTGCTCATCCGGGGTTGCTGGACCGAGCTGCTTGTCCAGGAGTGGGCCTTCTGTTGGTCTGATGAGGCAGATTTTATGTCCCTCACAAGTGGAGATGGTGCGCCTGGTCCCGTGTGTGTG